AGCTTTTATATAAATCTGTAAGAAGACTCTTCAATGTAATACTGAACATGTCTCACTCATATTCACTTCATTCTTTAGACTCTTGTTAATACAGTATGTTTACAATACACATGTTAGCTTCATAATCAGAAAAAAATTCAGGAGTTGTTCTCTTATTTGCTAAAACCTAGGAAAGAAAAAGTAATTAGGGAACATTACTTTTAAAACAATTCTTACTGGAGCAAAACACTTTCCCAGAAAGACAATGATTTTATGAAGATGTAACTAAAGATAACAGTGAGCAACGTTAGAATCAACTAAACCATGATGACTTTGTTCAGTCATGTTATAAGGCAACGAGCACTCCGTGTTTCTAAGTTCTTTCAAAATAGAAACAGGTCACATCAGAATTTAAAGGGATTTGAGGCAGTCTGATTTTCTTACTTTATAAATGAGTCCCAAGATAGGTAGGTGTGTTCCCAAATAAGCGCTACAAGGCAAGAATTAGGTAACCCAACTTCTGTCCAGCTTATAAATAAAAGTATACATTCCCCTTGTCATTATTTATTGAGTAAAGATGACTTCAGTGTGGGGTAGTATCCATTCAATTGGTTAACTGATGAGGTCTTGATTTTAGATACTAGCAGCTCACATGCCTCCAAAATTTTAATACTTCTCAAAACACTTTCACATGGGCTGGGTGCGGTGGCTCATGCCTGTAATCCTAGCACTCTGAGAGGCCAAGGCAGGTGGATTGCTTCAGCTCAGGAATTCCAGACCAGCCTGGGAAAGAGCAAGACCCTGTCTCTATTAAAAACAAAAACTAGCTAGGTGTCCTGGCTGCTCAGGAGGCTGAGGCAAAAGACTCACTTGAGATGAAGAATTTGAGGTTGCTGTGAGCTATGATGATGCCACAGCACTCTGCCGAGGGCAACAGGGTGAGACTATATCTGAAAAAAAACCCAACAGCACTTTCAAATAGATTCTCTCGGTTGCCTTTCAGAAGAGCTTGGTGAGACATGTAGGGTAAGAAGGGCCACTCCCATTTTACAGATACAAAAAGTGAGGCTCAAGCAGCCCAGGCCCAGTGAGAGCCACACCTCTGTCTGCTCCCAGTGCTGTCTGGGAGTTCCTCTTTGAGTCCTTTTTGAGGTAGTCATCTGAGTGAACCTCTGTGAACCTTATGTTTTCCTTCCTTGTTGTTTAAAAAAATTCTTTCTTGCTTAGACTCCTATCTTAATGTTGCACTTAAAGGCACTCTCACGTCACTTACACCTGCTTACTAATCCCTGCTTTGTTTCTTGTTGTTGTTGTTATTGTTTGTACTGTAGAATGGAAATTACCCCAATGCATCTTCAGGCCTGGGAATACTCCTGTTATTTGAGGGCCAAACCCTAGAATGTTGTTTTCTCTTGAAATCTGATGCCCTCGCTATAAGCAGAAGGACTACTTTTGCAAAGGTCAAACTCAGGGTCTATTATAAAGCAAGAAATTTATATATAAACACTTTTGATCTGACATATTTCTAGAGACTTTGGGCTTTGTAAAAGAGATTAATATGGAAGCCAGAGGAGATAGACTAATTTATTTATTTTTTTGAGACAGAGTCTCATTTTTTAAAATAAAAGGCACATTAGTTCAGGTGGCATTTTTAACTATGCCCTTACTTCTTTTTTTGAGAGAGAGAAAAGAGTCTCATTTTGTTACCTTTGTAGAGTGCTGTGGCATCATAGCTCACAGCAACCTCAAACTCTTGGACTCAAATGATCCTCTTGCCTCAGCCTCTCAGGTAGCTGGAACTACAGGCACCTGCCACAAGGCTCAGCTATTGTCAGAGACAAGGTCTTCCTCCTGCTCAGGCTGGTCTCCCACCTGTGAGCTGAGTCCATCCACCCAGCTGGCCTCCCAGAGTGCTAGAATTACAGGCATGAGCCACCATGCCAGGCCCTGAGGCAGACTTATTTAGGACCCATAAATAATATGTGACAGAATAAATCCTGGGGAATCTAAGAAGATCAGATGTTCTCCTTGGCTTTGTTTCATTAAGGGAGGAAACGTGTTCTTCTGCTAAGAGTACGTTGTCCTTGGAAAGAACTGGAAAAGGTGTCAATGTTTCCTCTGGATGTTCAGGTCCAGAGAAAAAAGGGGCTCAGGATTTAAACTAACCTCTGTGGTGCCTCAGGTCCTGAACTTAGAGACTGACGCAACCTTAGGCAAATTCTCTGCACATCGGTTCCCTCATCTTTAAAGTAGGGGGGTTGTAGCACCTGCCTCAGAGATTGTGGGGAAAACAAAATTAGCTAATGGCCAAGAAAATACTTTGTATATCAAAAATCACTATAAAATACATGGAACATATACATCTTTGTAATATTTGAAATTTACTGCTCCGGGTAAGGGATGGAGCAGTGAGTTAAAAAGGAATGTCGCCTCGGACACAGCAACGGGCAGCCGGCCAGGTTTCTCCAGGCACTGCAAGATAGAGAGCTGGAGAGTGCATACTAATTGCTGCACCTCCGCACTGCTGACCAAATGACTCTTCACCAGAAAACAGAATGTCCCTTTCCATATCAAAGGCCTTCTTCTTTTTCCTTATTTTTTATTTTTTTATATTTTTATTTTTGGTAGTCAAAGGCTTTCTTCTAACTGGGCTTTCGGCTGCATACAAAACTGACCTGACACCCTCATGCACTGGATGGCACGGTCACGAAAAGGAGCTCTTAACAAAATAGCTTGGTTGACATCTGTAGGCCAGGGAAGAGGAAGAAGTTTCCCTACCACTAGGAATGACTTCTAGAAAATAAATGATTCTTATCGACACTTGGAAGACAAATTGTCAAAGAGCAGAAAAGAATGTACAGGAAGAGAACAAGTGTGTTTCTAAATGAAGGAAAGGAAGAAAAACTTTCCCAGGCAGGAGCCCCTGCCTCTGTGAAGAGTATGCAAAATAAGGGTAAAAATTTCAACTTGGGGCCAGGACGGTGCCTCGCACCTATAATCCCAGCACTGTGGAGGCCGAGGCCAGCAGATTGCTTCAGCTCTGGAGTTCAAAATCAGCCTGAGCAAAAGTGAGACCCCATCTCTAAAAAAAAATAGCCAAGCACTATGGAACCTGTAGTCCCACCTGCTAGGGAGGCCGAGGCAACAGAATCACTTGAACCCAAGAGTATGAGATTACTATGCACTATAATACCGTGGTACTCTACCGAGAGTGACAAAGTGAGACTCTGTCTCAAAAAAAAAAAAAAATTTTTTTTCAACTTGATATCAGGAGTAATGGAATATTCATCCCTAAAGAAAACTCTTTGGAGAAAGCAAGGATGATATCCTACATGGAGCCACAAAGTGATTTCTGGTGACATTTAGGGCCTGCCAGCAAGTCACTTGGCAGTCAAATCTTTTTTTTTTTTTGAGACAGAGCCTCAAGCTGTCACTGTGGGTAGAGTGCTGTGGCATCATAGCTTACAGCAACCTCTAACTCCTGGGCTCAAGCAATTCTCCTGCCTCTGCCTTCCAAGTAGCTAGGACTACAGGCACCCACCACAAGCCCAGTTATTTTTTGGTTGCAGCCATCATTGTTGTTTTGCGGACCCAGGCTGGATTCGAACCTGCTAACTCAGGGGTATGTGACTGGCGCCTTAGCTGCTTGAGCCACAGGCGCTGAGCCATGGCAGTCAAATCTTAAAGAAGTAAGAACATAAGACTAGACGCGGCAGCTCCCTCTGGGAGGCAGAGGTGGGTAGATTGCTTGAGCTCAGGAGTTAGAGACTAGCCTGAGCAAGATTGAGACCCCGTCTCTAAAAATAACCGGGTGACATGGCAGGCACCTGCAGTCCCAGCTACCTGAGAGGCTGAGGCAAATGGATCACTCGAACCCAAGAGTTTGAGGTTGCTGTGAGCTATGATGGCACAGCACTCTACCAAGGGTGACAGAGTGAGACTATCTAACAAAAAAAAAAAAAAAAGTAAAAACATAGTTAAGAATGCCACCTGAATTAATACGCCTTTTATTTCTTTAGAAAAAATTTCAACTTTGATAGCAGAAGGGATCTACTCTTAGAGGTCCAAAAAATGTTGTTGCTATAGGAACAGGTAAGCAGATTAGACTTGAAAGACCAGTTCAGGAACAAAGAATTTAATAGTGAAGGCTAAAGCAATTAGCCAAAAAAACATTTTAAGTAAATATCTTTTGGGTTTGTTATTTATATATGAGTTCCAGGAAGATAAAAGGCTATTATAGACGGAGAGCATCACATTTTAACATTTTAATTACATCATTACTGGCGTAAAAGACTATGCTTACACAATTAGCAGAAAGACCTTATTAACCAGAAGCACGCATTTCTAGCTCTCTTTTGATCGCGTTGTAACTGAGACATACGACTTTAAATTCAGCAAGAGCCTAAGAGTCATCTTTGATTTTCCTACAGTTTTCAAGATGGGAACACACCTCAAATAAAGAAGACAATGAACTACTGAAAGTGCTCTGTAACCAATCTCTTAACGAGGGAGCTATGAAAATGCTAGAAGTGAACCAAAACGTGTGGAGGCTGATAACTGTTAATATTTTATGCCTTCTCTGTTCAAGAGTCTCCATGAACAAGACATGTGAGCAGAGAAGAAGGTCAAAGACCCCACTGCATTCCTGCTTTACCTCTGATCTGTTTCTTCTATCAGGGAATAAATTGCTCCCCACATTACGGATTTGCTGAAATCATTAGACGTTTTGAACAGCCCTCCCTGTGCCGATGAGGATCAAACATGAATCATAAAGTCACATTGTGCGTCCCTCCCTTTCTGGTTTGTTTAAAAAGAAAATATTCTTGATAAAATGAATACAATATTTTCATTCTAGCAAATTTCTGCTGTCCGAGGTTACATTTATGGGACAGAGAGATTTCTCAGACATTACCTTTTCTCACATAATACAGAGTCAAATTTGCAGAGAAGTGTGTTAGTGTGCTGCGTGTAGGAGGCTGGGGACTGGGAATGGGAAGAGGGCAGTGTGGCTAGAATCTTACCATCTCATTCTCTTCTCCTTCGTTGAGCAAAGCATGCTGGTCCTTCTCAAGGTGGTCCCCCATGAAAAAGTGAGCCCACTTCTCTGACTTTCTGGAGCAGTCACTTCCAAGACGAACTCCAACTCTCTGAGCTGCTCTCCAGCTGACCGAAAGAGTTAATAATCCTCCAGGTTAAAATTCCTTCTTGAGTACACACCTTCTCTCAGCAAATGACAATACTTGGCAAACAAAACTCCTCCCACCAGTCACCCTCTGCTAGGAGGGATTTCTGCAGCTCCTTGCTTACTGAGTTCTCCCTAAGCAGCTGTCTCAGAGGAGGCTGTGCCCAACTTCCAAGGAAAGAACTCATTGCCTGCCCAGTGCCTGCCAGCAGCAGACATCTGACTGCAAAACCAATGGGACAATATAAAGTTGGCAGGACCCTTCTCAGAAGTGGGGAGTGGGGGCAAGAACTCCCACGTCACAGCCTCATTCACAGGGGCTAAGGGATTGGGGTGAACAGAAGCCAACAGAGCTGCAGATTTTCTTTGCTTAATCAAAGACTCGATCCATAGGTTTTTTAACAGTAATCTCATTTATTTTGCTTACAAAAGGTACGAATGATCACTAATCCCCTTCCAAGGGTATTTATAATCACATTTCCTTGTGCATGCAAACAAATTTTGCTTAATGTGTATGTGGAATTAAGTTTACTTTTTTTAAAAAATATGTTAAAAAAGAACAAAAGTATAGTCAACTCTTCTATGTAATCTCTTTTCAGGAAAATATTGGTGACTCAAATCTTAAGGTCTGGAAATAAAATATTCAACCGACTTATGTAAAGATTCCTTTTTTTTTTAATTTATTCACACATTTATGCAATAAATAGTGTTTGAGTGTAGGGACTGCCTAAGTTAATCAAGTCATGTCTGCAACCTCCGGGTGATGTAGGGATTCAAATCTGCACACAAGTAGGATATAAGGAGGTTTATTATTATGAGAGCTGGGGCATAAGTCTAAGATAACTTTCCAAAGTCCCAGTGTGCTGGAAAGGAACACTCTTCTGTCTTGGCATTGGAAATAAAAACAAAACCCTGGAACCCAGCCCCTCGTCCGCATGGGCCATGGTGTGTGATCGTGTAAGCCAGTGAGTGTCTTCTGGTGTGCCCTGAGAGGATTTCAGGTGTGTGTGAAAAGTTTTAAAGATCATTAATTAAATTATTTTTGAAAGAAGTTCAAAGCACAGTAAGTATCTTCTTTTTTTTAACTCTTTATTTATTTATTTTTTTTGATCAACATAATTTACGTGTGCCACAGAAGTTTAACTATAGGTTCAAGGGTGCCATGAGATTAAAAAAAAAAGGTTGAAAAATACTGACTTAGCCTATAGTTACTGGCTCTTCTTATGTGGTAACATCTGGCCGGACTGTGGAGAGAATGGAATGAAATACCTGTGAAAACACATTAGATAGCTATTGATATCAGTGAGGGCTACTGATGTTACTAAAGTAAATATCCAGCTTGACAGCAGGTGGCAGAACATAGTGGTTCAGGGCATGTGGGCTGGAAGGCCCGGGGTCAAATGGTCAAATCTGGATTTTAACAAGCAGTGGTTATGCCACATTAGGATGTGACAAATTACATAAAACTCCACACACCTCTGTTTCCTCCTGTGTAACAAAAGGACGGTGAAACTAGAACCTACCACCTAAAACTGTTTTTGAGGTGTAATGCCTGGGAAACAGTAGGCGTTCAGTAAATAGTTATTTTCACCTTCACTAAGTCCGCTCAGTCTCCTTTGAGCTACGCTGGCGCTGATACCCCTGCACTGACACAAGTAACTCTAATAAGACCCAGACCAAAGCGTGTGTGTACATGTGTGTACGTGTAAAACCTTGAGCTAAGGGTAAAGTAAGAGAAACATTTAAAAACTAAGCTAAGCAAACCCATTATAATATTAGTTACATATATATGTAGTCCTCTGTTTCAAAATAGTGTTTGCATAATTTAATTAAATACATAAAAGTAAAATTAACATTTTCATCACAAGGTCAAAATGCAAGGAGTACGGAGTTCTTTCTGGGGTGCTGAAAATGTTTTGTAATAGGTCAGGCATGGTGGCTCACACCTGTAATCCCAGCAGTTTAGAAGGCCAAGGCAGGTGGATTGCTTGAGCCCAGGAGTTCAAGATCAGCCTGAGCAAGAAGTAGACCTTGTCTCTGCTAAAAATAGAAAAATTATGCCAGATGTAGTGGCACATGCTTGTAGTCCCAGGCACTTGGGAGGCTGAGGCAAGACGATCACTTGAGCCCAGGAGTTTAAGGTTGGTGGATACCATAGCACTCTACCCAGGGCAACAGAGTAAGATTCTACCTAAGGAAAAAAGAAGGAAGGAAGGAAGGGATGGATCTAGAATTAGTGGCTTCATAATTTTGTGAATTGAATATATTAAAATACACTGAACTGTATACAGTAAAGGGTAAATTTTATAGAATGTGACTTACATATCAACAAAAAATTATACCTCAAAAAAAATTATTGAAACTTTTATAGCTTTAGTAGATAGCAATTTAAATATTTAGCAGAGATAAAAATAAAATAAGATTTCAAACTTCATCTCCACTGGAGGGGGTTGAGGGGTCTGTCAAATGACAGAACTATACCTGTGTTGGGGGGCAGGTGAGACTGGAGCCTTTCATGCTCCTGTTTCTACCTGGTGACACTTGCCCTGGTTTCCCTCTGGCTGGGCCCCTGAATACACCTGGCAACTCACACACCATTGCAGGGTTAAGATGGGTATAACTGAGTAGTAGCTAGAGAATAAAGTCCACATGGACTCACCACATCCAACAACCTAGGTTATGCTGGAAACAAAATTCAAGTCAAATTGAACAGAAAAAATAGGTAAGTCCCTAAGACATTAAAAGCTTTTGTAAAAACCAAGTGTCTATGGTACATCACTTTTTACAACGTCGTCCAGTAGAACTGAAGACTCCACAATAAGGAAAGCGTTTCTGCAGGTCCCACAGGACTTGTAATGGTAAAACCTCCAGGGTTGTCTATGACAGCATGACTTACAGGCACTGCTCACCCTCCGTTAGGGCTGCCAGACTACAAACATGAGTGGATCCAGAAACAGGGCCGGATTCGGAGGGAGAGCAAAGAGGATGTTTACCGAATACTGCTGTATAGGAGGCACTATTCTAAGCATTTTGTGCACACCACTGCACATAAATCTTAGAAGAGCCTCTGCAGTCGGTCTATTCTAGTCATCTCCACTTAGCAAATAAGGAAGCACAGGGGGCTAAATTCAAACAACTAGTAAGTGACAGAGTATTTGGACCTAGGGGGTGTATTTCTCCCCATCCACAATCCTCATTACTAGACTAACTCTGCTTCTACAGGTTTATTTGGGACATCCAAAGTGCTCTGAGGAATGTTGCAGTTACCAGGAAAGCCTCTCTGGGGCGGAAGCATTCAGAAAGTTCTGGTAGAGAGACAGAGAAGGCTTCAAGAGGTGGAGATGCTGGGCAGTGCCTGTGGCTCAGTGAGTAGGGCGCTGGTCCCATATACTGAGGGTGGTGGGTTCGAACCTGGTCTTAGCCAAACTGCAACAAAAAAATAGCCAGTGTTGTGTCAGGCACCTGTAGTCCTAGCTACTCGGGAGGCTGAGGCAAGAAAATCACCTAAGCCCAAGAGCTGGAGGTTGCTGTGAGCTGTGACACCTCACTACTCTGGAGGCTGAGGCAAGAAAATCACCTAAGCCCAAGGGCTGGAGATTGCTGTGAGCTGTGACACCACAGCACTCTACCAAGGGTGACAAAGTGAGACTCTGTCTCTAAAAAAAAAAAAGAGGTGGAGATGCTGAGACCTACACAGAAACTGAGGTCACAGGGAAGAACATTTGAAGCAAGAGATTCAGCAGAGAGAGACACACAGAGCCTTCCTCAGAGTAAGTCTATCGCCTGCACTGCATGCAGGGGTTCTGAAGAAGGGAGAGGGAAGCAAGGCGTGGCAAGGAGTATAGATCAAGGCCATACACAGGGGTCTTGAATGCCAACCCTGAGTCCGGGCTTAATGAATGATGACAACATCGAAGGCAAACTGAGCTCCATCAATATGCCTATTTTCCCTGATCAGCCTGTGCTCTAATCTAGGAACTATTGCATACGCAGGTGCAAAAGTGACTCAGCCTTCCTATGTAATATTGTTCAGCCTCCTTGAACCCTCTAAGCAAATCTTCTATTTCCCTTTGGAGCATTGTTGGGAAAAGTTATTCTTTTAATCAGTCTCTCTTTTTAAAATTTGCTTGTCAAATACTTCTATTCTACATGGCATGCGGCTCACAAGGTGATACAGCATGGTGAGAATGGGGCATGTGGGTTGATCTGAATTCTAATCTTGATGCTTCCTTGATAGATTCCATCCATTCATTCATTGAACATCCATTTGATTAACTTAAGTATAGGAAGACCTGTAATAGATGGAGAGACTTAATGAATTATGCCCTACAAGAGTTAAGTCTATTAGGAAACAAGACCAACACCAAAATATAAATTCCATATGCTAATTACACAAGCATGGCAGGGGAAGTCCAAGCAGGCAGCCAGTTCAGGAAGGCTTCGTGAAGGTAGGGAGTTCTATGCTAGCCTAGACAGCCAGTGATGGGCAAGGAGAGCACCTGACAGATGACAGCACAGGCACACAGGGGCTGGCACACAAGCCCATTCTGGGGACGATGCCTTATTCACATGTAATGACAATAGAATTGAGAAAAATGCCCAAGAGGAGAAGTTGTTTCAGTCATTCTCTGATTTTGTCTCTACCATCACTTCTCAAATTCTCCACTTCAAATAAGAACAGGAAAGGGGAAAAGCAAGAGAGAGAACAAACGATGAGCTACCTCTTTGCTGATCTGGTATCTCAGCTCACTCTTGTCTGTCCGGGGAACATGTCTGTTGCTCTGAGCGCTTCTCCACTTCTTTGAGTGTCTGTAACAGAGTCGAATGGAAATAATAGCAGTCCCAGTTTCTCCACCAGGGCTGTGGGGATGGTGATGCTTCACTTGCCTGGCCCATTTAGATGGCCTGAAGATAAATGGCAATCATGTTTCATCACGTAGTAATTTCCTTCTTTCATCTGAGAACTCCATAACATATTACAAACATTATTCCTTGCAAAATCTCTGTGAAGTGGGGAGGTGAGTAATGCTGTTGCCCCCATTTGCATGCTGTAGGGACTGAGTCATGAAGAGTTCACAAAGAGCTATTCAAGGGCACATGTCCTTAGCACGGAGTGGAACCTGAACAGGTGCAACATTTCTGCCTCGTCATCACTGGCAATTAGCTGGCCCAGGCCTCCTCTTCAGTCCTCAT